TAGATTTATCAACATTTAAATAGAATTAGATCAATATCTTTCCTTTCTTGTGATACAGTGCATATCTCGTGGACCTATGCCTCATTGACTTCGTTTGGAAGGAGTAAAATTCCAGCAATTTATCTGTATCAGACATTTTTTTCTCACATTAGAAAACTATTTTTTTTTCTAATAAAATAGAAAACTTTATAGCTGGCACTAATGACCCTCAAAAATTTATTTTTATCTAAGTTATACAATACGAAAAACAAAGTTCCAAATTGTATTGTTCGAAAGCAGCCATTTTTTACGCAGGTTCTAAATTCTTTAATGGAGCTTAAACATTTATTTTTCAAATCTACAATCTCTTTTTTTCCATTTATTTATTTTCAAGAGTATTTATATCAGGAACACAAAAGGTAATTCATTATGACTTACTTTATAAGTTACAACTCCAACCAATCTATAATATCAAAAATTACATAAAAATAATAAAAAATAAAAGAAAATATCTGAAAAGTTTCAGATGTTAACGGTCGCCAAAAAGGTTTTAAGGTTTTTGCTCTGTTGTTACACTCACTCCTACTAACCTCTTTTTTTTTCTCTTTAGCCTTATTATTAAGCATAATTTTTTTCACGCTTACGCCATATGCAATTCAACAGAAAAATTACAAAATTCTAAATGCAGCATAGCTGTATATGTTCAGAATTCCCAGTTTTTTTAGTTTTTAAAAATTTAAGGTTATCATCTGCTCCACAAAACTTCAAATAAATATTAGTTTGGAATCAGGAGCGTCAGATTCGAGGTAATTTTAAGACGAAAACGTAGTACGTTTAATTTTCACTTGAAAAATACTCTGCTGTTCTGAATGAAGAAGTAACGCATAATAATTAATTATATATATAATATATATATATATACATGTTTCAAAAGAAAATTAAATTTAAATAAATTTAATTTATATACAAATTTAATTAATTAATTCTTTACGCCATTGCTGCAAGGAATGAAATTTAAATTTAAACAGATTTAAATTTTAACAAACATGTATATACGTAAAAAAGCAAATTTAAAGTTAAAATAATTTAAAAATGTGCAAACATATAAAAGATTTAGTTTTCGGACTAATCTACAATATCATTTAAATTCAGATAGCATAAGTAAAGTGCAAAACCAAACCATGAAAATAAATACACCAATTTAGCAAATTAAAATTAATCTAAATTTTTTTTAAAAAAATGCATAAGTGAATGACTGTTGAGCAGGCAGGAGACAGACTTATCAAGGGGAAGTTGCCTCCAAACGTAACTCTTCAATCATTCACTTCGTGTTTCGTCATTCATGCAGGCAAGGTAAAAGTCAAAACCAAAAGTAAAGAGAGAAGAAAGTCCAAAAAGAAATACCAATAAAATGGTACCTTTAAAAAATAGCAATTAAAAATTAAAGTTCTAAAAGGAAAATACCAATGAAGTTTTTTGAGAAATAAGCAATGTAAAGTCTAGTATTAAATTAAATTTTTTAAAGAAATAATTTAAAAAAAAATAATTTTCAGAAAAATTAATTTAGAAACCAAAGTATTTTAGAAACTCTTGTCTACAGAAACCTCCCCGACACGAATATGCATATCAATAAAAAGAAACTAAAAAGGAACTAGACATAATTTATATAAACCAATAAGAAACAAAAAGAATTAATTCATAATTTATAAAAAACAAATATATACTTAAAAATATAATTTCATATCTAGAAAATACTTAAATACTACATAAAAAATGTTTAAAAAATACTTAAAGCAAGTAAATAGTAAGTTTTAATTCTAACTTACCTACTATATTAGCGTTGGGGTCTGCAAAAGTATTTCCAAAGTGATGTAAGTGTGTTCTGCAAATTATATAGATGGCGCTTATGTAAGTAGAGTGCCAAGCTGCTATCTTTGTTTTATGAAAAATTTTTTGAAAACTTTAATATTAAAATATTTAAATAATATAAAACTAGAAAAAATTAAAAATCCTAAAAGTATGTAATTCAAGTTTTAATTTTAACTGATCAACTATTTATGTAAAGGAGTTTAGTAGCTGAGCCAATCAAGAGATGTAAGTTTGCTTTGCAAAAATCACAAAAAGAGTACTGATTGATGTAAAGTGTTAAGTGTTTATTGTTAAGTGTTTATTGCGAATTAATAAATGTAAACTTGTTTTAATGTGAAATATGTGTTCTGTTGCAAAATTGTGTAAATATTGCAAATAATACCGTTAAGTGAAATTTTTTTTGTGAAAATTGCGAATAATTAAAAAGTAATTAAGAAAAACTGAAAAGTTTTAAAGTTTTAAAAAAGGTTTTAAGTAAAATTTAAAATTTAAAAAAAGTATTTAAAAATTCTTAAAGAAATTTCCTAAATTTTTTAGTAAAAATTTATTGAAATAAATTACTTAAAAACTTTTTTTTTTTAAATTCCCAGAAATTTTCTTGTCTCAAAAATTCCTTAAAAAAGTTCATCAAAAGCTATATTTAAAGAAAGACAAAAAAAAGAAAAAAATTGAAAGTTTAATAAACTTGATTTCAACTGGAAAATCAAAACTTTACTAAATACTGGCTAAAGTATAAAAAATTAGAAGAAGATTAAAATCTTCACCCAATTCGGGCTATAATTGAGACTTTGGAAAAGAATTGGCCCTTTATTAGTAAAAGGAAGGAATCCAGTTTTGATTAAATATACATATTTACAAATTTATTTACAATAAAAATTTACAAGATAATTCCTTTACTTTTCTATATCCTCCATTACCCTCCAGCTAATGTTTAAGGTAATCATACCAAAAAGAGCCAAAAAATTATAAAGTTAATGCCTGCCTTTTTAATATATAAATTAATAAATATTGGTGGTACTTGGTTATCAACTTGAACATTAATTAGCTTTATTATTTCTTCCTTTAAATCTTCTATTTCAGTACATATATTTTTTATTCTGATTATTTGGCTATGAAACGTGTTTTCTATTACTTTTCTAGAGATATTAGAGTTCCAATTAATTGGCTTAATAGTATGAAAATGGAAATTCCTTCTTTTATCATATAATTTAATTTTGCTGTGTTTAATAATTAGCAGGTCTAGGTATTCAATAGTATCTTGATTCGTATTCGTTTTATTAAGTGTTAAACTCTTTGGGTAAATTTTGAATTGCTCAAAAGCAGAATTATTATTGAAAGATATAATATCATCTATGTATCTATAAGTATGTGCAAATAGATTTAATTCATTCTTATTTAAACTTAGTTTGGAATTTATATTCATAAGTAAAAAGAAATAGGTTGCATATTTGTGTAGAACTGTTTGCTCCCATAGGAATTCCTCTCACTTGCTGAAAGATCTTATTATTGAATTTAATGTTGCTATTAAATAATGCACAATTCAGATAAGTATTCCACCTTTCAATACAAAGGATGTCAAGTATGTCAGGAAGTTGTGGGAGTTGCATTAAACTAGTAAAAATTTCCTCTAATGGTAGAGAAGTATAAAGGTTTTCAAAGTCATATCAGTTAATGTTCTTGATATTTAAACTTTAAAATAAAACTGTTGAGAACTGGAGCATTATTATAAATAATCCAACTATAATTGTGTTGTTTGTTAACGAGTTGTTGGATTAAATTACAGATTTTTTTAAGTATAATTGCAAATATGTAATCTATATTATTTTTATAATTATTTGTACCATTAGCAATAAATCTAAATTTGAGCGGTGATTTATGAAATTTTGGGAGAGCATATAGATTTGCTAATCTATTGTAGTTAGATGGTTGTGAGATTTGCAGTTTCTTGTGAAATGCTTTTAGCATTTTTGCAATAACATTTTCTTGTAAATTGGTGAGTTTGTAAGTAATGGCATTATTTAGTTCAGTATTAATAAATGAGATATAAAAAATTTTAATATTATGCTAAAATTATTATTGGCTTTGCAAATTTTGGTGATTATGAACTTTTGTTTCAAATCTTGCAATAGAGTAATGAGAATATTCCACTTTAAATCGCAATTAAATTCAATCCTTCGAATGCAACCAATTCTATTCGCACATATTCATTTTTATACACTATAATTATCGATGCGCTATGCATCCCACAATTTTATATAATTCATTAGACCGTGGACGAGACAGAGAACGATCCATGATAGCAGCGCGGTAGGAAAACAAAAAAGAGAATACTAGTGATATATTTAGCAAAGCGTGAGATATATATATAAAGATATACAATGCAAAATAAAATTAAAAAATAAAATTAATCATCTAAAATTAATCTAATATTCAACTCGAAATAAACCACATGCAAATACCCAAAAATAAAAGCCCAGTGGCAAACTTTGAGAAATAAGGGTCAAAACATGCCAAAACCACAACTGAAAAATTATAAAATTATAGTTACATCTTTCTCTGCATCGTCATCAGGGGGTTGGCGCAGCGAAAGTGTAAATAACAAAAACTATTCCTGACCTGAAAAGGGCACAAATAAAAATTTTAAAATAATCTTAGAAAAAATATTACCCTAGAAAAACAATTAAAGTATTCTGCATTTGTCACCCTTACAGACCCCTATAGACTAAAGTAAGCAGTGTAAAAATAGTAGCATCGAAACTAAAGCCAAATTCAAAAATATTGCGAAATAACAGAAAATTCATTTTAAATGTTTTGATTGGATAGAGACCAAAAACAAACTTGAAAAACTAATAAGGCAACACTTGAAAAAACAAAACCAGGAGCAAATGTTTTAATTCCAAATTGGGGAAAACAAAATGCAAATTTTTAAAACATACAGGCCGGGTAAAAAGACTAAAAGCATTATTCATAAACTAGCAAATAAGTTTTAAAAATCAAATAAAATTATTTTAAAATTTTGATTGTATCCAGTCCAAAAACATGTATATATAAATGTATATATAAATCAAATTATATAAATACATAAATATTTATATATATATTGTAGAGACATTAGGTATTTTTTGGAAGCAGGCAAGATGAAAAATTAGCAACGCCTTCGTTGGCAATCGAACCCCGGACCTCTGGATTACTGGTCCAGGGTGCAAAACCACTACACCACGAAGGCACGCCAAGAAGGTAGGAGAGAAATACCTTATATATATATATAATTTCACTTTTAAAAACTCCATATATTTATTCACTTAAAATGGCAGATCACTATTCTTTTAGATTCTCCAAAATTACATATCCAATAATGATTTAAATTAAAATAAGGTTAAATTTAAGCTTTCGACGTTATAACTATTGTAACAAAAGGAAGAAAAATGGATAGAGCAGCGCAAGGTCTTATAACAGCAATGTCAGGGAGCAGTCTATGAAAAATGGCTCGAAATCCCCATTTATTGTAAAGATTACATAATATGCCAGAATGTTCTCGAAAGAACTGATCTAGGGGACAGATCCTAAAGTTGCGGAAAGTTAATTAGAGGTTGCCTGTTCGCGTAGAGCAAAGCCGTCGTATTTTTTTATATTTTACATCATCCCCCCCTCAAAACGAGAGGTTGGGAGAGCAAATCAATAGCATTTTTTTATATTTTACGTATATATATATAATATATACGTATATATATTTTACTTATATATATAATATGTTTCAGTTTAGGCATATCAGAAAAAGAGCAACACTGTTACCTCTTTGTGCACCAAAACATTCAGATACGTCTAATAAAGTATCATGTGCGAAGAAAGAATAAAATTTGGTGAATTAAAAGATGGATTTTCAATAACTAATTTTATGAGTTACGTAATGATATACCTACTGAAAAAATTTACGCAGTTGTTTCAATTAATATTTACTTCAGTTCTTATATTGATTCAAAGAGTAAAACAAATTTATTAAAAACTCCCTGCATTGCAATATCCACTTCATTGGATAATTATTTCAGGCCAGTTTCGTATGCGTGTTTTAGCTTAAGTTCGCAATCGTCATTGAAGGTAATAAACTACCTATCAATTATGTGTATGAAGTTCTGCTCTAAGTTTGGTGAAGTCTAAATTGAAGTTAGTATTCTTTATGAAATAAATGGAAAACTAAGTATTAAAATCAGTCATTGGATGACAATGGTGTAAAAACGTTGCTTAGGAAAAGAAAGCATTCATTTGGAGTACAATAATTGATGACAAACTAGAAATGCACTTCTGAAAATAAATGCTCCTGGCCAATAATTTTACCTTAAAATGAATTCCCGAAGCAGTTTCTTTTCTGATAATTGAGAGGAGAAAATTTTTCTGAATTCGGATCACAGAGCGAAACCGTCATTAACCTCAATCCCAAATAACTCGAGAGAGAGAATTCTAAAGTCAAAACTAATTACTCATTTTTCATCTCATGTAATTTCAACAGCATATAATCATTTATGCCAATGAGTTTTTAATTGTTAATAATGAGTGCAAAGAGCTGTTCGAAAAGGCAGAAGATAAAGATGATTCTGTTTTAAAGTGAATTTTTCTTGCTGAATGAATAGCACCCAGGTGAGAAAGATATTTTTGCTTTATTAAGCACAAAATCTAAATTGCGGTACGTGAACTTTCAAAAGAACATTTTTTAGCTTTTCAAAAACGAGTATTTCACGTTACTTCTCTTATTTTCTAATTACTGCATGAAAGAGGGACTGATTTAGAGGCAGAATTGCAGAATATACAACAGCTTCTGCTTTTGTTCAGATTTTTACATTGTAATGAATAAAAACAAGCTGAAAAATGAAAATTAGGCTTACTGCATCTACAAAATCTACTGACTGTTCGCACTAAAATTGAACTTTGAATAATATAATACTGTTTCGTTATATAATCTCTATAATTTTAGGCAACACTTGGAACATCCGTACAGCTACTTCATTGCTTCACAAAACACATCTTGTCTTGTTCACGTCTCTTGGTCCACTGCCCTGAACCTTAATTGCAATTACAATAATGTCTTTTGAAGTGGCACTTCACTAGTAGATAGTAATCTGTAAGTGCCAAATCTAGTTAATTAGAAGAAAGACTGAGAATTGCGACTCTTTCCTTCGCTAAAAATTGGTTGGTTTGGTCAGGTTTTAAATATTAATTTAGGTAAGACTAATAGAAGATGGCAAACCACACCAGGACTAAGGAAAAGGACGCCTTCCTGGAGGATGTTCTTAGGGAAACGGGTCCGTATTTCACATGGGGAAAAACACCAACCAACCCGTTTACCCCTCGAACCCTAGTCGAACTACCAATATTCAGCGATCTTAACCACTAAGCTACTGGGAGGGCTCTGAAAATTTCAATGAAAATAATTATTTGGTATCTTAATATTTTTTCTATAATCAGTATGCAATAAATAACAAAGTTAAGGTTATTGCATAACGCATACGGGGCAGCCAATAATGTCATTAGAAGAGAAATAATTAAGCATGTGGCGACAAAAGGAACAAGCTTCACATTTGGTAATTTAATCTGTATAAAGCTGGTTAAAGTTCTTTATCAAAAATTTTTTTTTTCTTAAACTTTTAACTTCTTATGTATTTCTGTTTTTCTGTCTTTAAATGGTAAAATCTCATTTCCGCTAACTTAACGTAGGAATATAGATTTCCTTATTAATACGTCTACATTATCTCAGAAGCAAAATTCCGAAGCTATTTACAACTCTATTGCATATGAAACGTATCTCGAAAAGTTTCAGAGCTTTAAAAATAAAGAAGCCATTTTGGATCTTCAATTTTGAAGGTCTTTGAAGATTTTCGGTATTTTAAGAATAGGATATGAACTGATCCATACTTTTTGTATAAAAAACAGTTTTTTAACAAATTTTATAAATATATGATAGTCATCATGCATCTGTTATCTAAAATTTTTAATTTTATTATAACTTTAGTTAAAACAGAATAAACTAGTTTATTCTTCTGTGTACGTAACCATAGCACATGGAGCAACAGGCTGATTTTTAATACGTTCCAGACGAAATTTTATCTCATAAACTTGTACACATGTGTGCAGTTTTAGCTTAGGAAACCTTATATTCTATATTATATGTATATATATATTTAAAACCTTATCGCATGAATTTTACAAAACTTCAAGAATTTGCAGTCAGCTTTAAATCCAATATCTTGAAATTCAGAAGTTTTTCAGGATAAATGCTTAAAAACAGTGGTTTTATAATGAAAAACAATCTTGAGATTTCTAGAATTCTAGAACATTTTGCATTCGGGATGATGAAATATGGTATATACTAGCACAAATTCTGTGTGAATGATTGTTTTATTATGAAATCTAAAACTGTATATAAAAAATAGGCAAAACTCTTGCACTTACCAAACAAATTCATGGTTTTGAAACATTTCCATAAAAAATATTTGGTTAGATAAATCGTCCAAATATCGATCAGAACCACACTATGGCGAACCATCAGTCATGAAAATCAACCATGAGTAAAACGCAGTGGCCAGAATTTGCTGCAGTAAAACCTCGCTCAAAAATGTTTACTTAAGTTCCGCTGAATATATAGAGTTCTGAGAGGGACTTTTCATCGAAGAACTTGACTGCAATCAATAGAGAAATATAAAAGTTCTCCAACGCAAAAAGATGCTCTAAAACAGCGATTTTCAACCGGTGGTACGTTTACCACTGGTGGTACTCAAGAGAAAAATAGGTGTTAATAAATAAACAAAGTATTTTTAACTATTAAATTCAGGAATCTCGTGAAGAAAAAGAACAGTTGAGAGAAATTTCCTGTGATCGAGCTCTAACTGAAAATTTCAAAAATAACATACCCGTTAATTTTTGGCTGTACCGAAAAAAAGAATTTAAAAGCATTTCAAATAAGGCTATTAAACTTTTATTGCTTTTTTGCATAACCTATTTGTGCGAACAAGGATTTTCTTCCATGTTATATTGGAAAGATAAATACAGAACAAAATTAAAATTGGATCCTAATTTATGAGTAAAACTAATCGAACTAAGACCAGACATAACGAAATTGATCTCTCCTAAACAGTCCCAAATTTTAGAATTAAAGTATTATAACTTAAATTCTGCTAATTAAAATAGCAACCAATTTTTATCCTACCTCAATGCACAAGACAGTAGCGTAGCAAAGGGGGGGGGGGGCAAGGGGTGTGTGATGCCCCGGGCGCTGCTCGCAGAGGGGCGCCAAATGGTCTCCAAACAAGATTTTCATCATATCACTGTGGTTTGTTCGGGGGGGGCGCCAAAAAGGTATTTTGCCCCGGGCTCCAGTTATGCTCACTACTCCACTGCCACGAGATCAAGTCTACGACACCGAAGAGCAAGTTTTTGAAAGCTGTCCACGTGCAAAATCTTCGTATTTACTTCAAGCGAAATATGCCATCAACGAAGACGATGACAGCTCAGAGAAAACGCTTCAAACTAAAATTTATTCTGACATTCGGGCTGTCTAAATTTCATTAGCGAGGATTAATATAAAGCTTACGTTTGTATATTGTGTGGCGAGAAACCACCCCAATAAAGAAATATTTATTTGAGTATGTGTGGCAAAAGTAAGTAGTCGTTAGTTTTTGTCCAAAAAAAATGTTGTTGGTTCATTATTTTTCGTTTTAGTAAGTGATTTCTAATCAACTTCATATCTAAATTCCATTATTATTTCAAACTGTACTATTCCCTGATATATGTATAATTTACATTACAAATTTTCTCTGAGGGTAGGTGGATACTTCAAAGGAACAACAGGAATATTTATAAGGCATTATAAATTAGATGAATATTCTGTAAAAGAATAAAGTTCATTATATGTTACTTTAGTAGACAACTGATAAATAAAAGATAAACAACTGATAAATACTGTTTCATGAAAATAGCTTTATGTTTTCAATCTCTGTATTATTTTAAAGTATGACTAATGTTTAATTGTTATAAGAGAACTAGCAGTACTTTTTACATTATTCGTTATTTCATTGTGCTATTTCCTCTCCTTCCATTTAAGGAACTTTAAAGAAGTAACAATACAGTAAAAATATTTAACTACCGCAGACTTCCAAGAAAGCATAAAGTCAATTACATTCAGCAGACTTCTAAAAGAAACTCTGTGCATGCAGGTAATTAATCTGGATAGGTTTTTAC